CGCCCAGATCAGTGTGGCTGGAAACTGCTTCGATGTTGTGGTCAGAGATCTTGTATGTAAATCGCGGATTTGTCTTCCCGAGGTGAAGGACACAACACTTAGTTAGATTTAAGGGTAAAAGCCAACTGACTGACCATTGACAAACAATATCAAGATCTCGTTGAAGCATAGCAGAATTTACGACAGTATTGTAAATCTTGGTGTCGTCGGCATAAGCTGAACATGTGGAGGAAATCAATGCGGGCAGGTCACTTGTATACAGAAGGAACAGCACTGGCCCAAAGACAGAGCCTTGAGGAACTCCACTTGCTACATGATGAAGGTGAGACTGGCTATCACTGACGCGCACAGAGAAAGTCCTCCCGGTGAGAAAAGCCTTAATCCACAGTAACATCTCGCCTCTTATTCCCATACATTCCAACTTAAACAGAAGCCTTCTATGTGGTACGCGATCGAAAGCCCTAGAAAAATCTAAGTAGATTATATCAACAGGAGTCTTAGTGTCCAGATACAGAGTCCAATCGTTGAGAGAGTGGAGAAGGTTGGTCATTATTGATCGACCAGGGAGAAATCCATGCTGATTCTTAGGGATAAGGTCATTTTCGAAAGCAAATGACAGAAGCTTATCTAATATGATTCTTTCAGCTATTTTGTATCTCTCCACACTTTTTAATATGATTTAGGTAGCCTATTGAAAATTTGTGGATCCGGTATTTCCGGAGATCTGACGCCGATCTTGTACTTGGCATAACACACATTTAAGTCTCCAGCTTGCCTGGTCGAGTACGAGTTAAGTTTGTCTCAAAACCATTTCGTATAAAAATAAAGATGGTAAAGTTAAAATCTTGGAAATATTCTTACAAGTATGCCTGCTACTGACTTCTGTCATACATCTAATCACTCTTTTCTGAGCCAAACATACTTGCACATTTGTGGACAAACCCCTGATTAGATATGATTGGGGTTTATCTATGAAGCAATATATACACAGTGGTCTTTAAAATTTAAACCTGTATCTAGATACAACCCCAAGAATTTTACTTGCATGTTAAGGGCCATTTTTTGAAACATTAAAAATTATATTCGATGCGACAGGTGTCTTCTGGATGTTATGAAATTTATGTTTCTTTAGGATCTAAATAGAGCTGATTGCTGCTAAACCACTTGTGAATATTTTGCAGTAAAACTCCACAATCTCTCTCTAAGGTAGCCTCATACTTATGCGATGTCACCACTGCATATAAAATGAACCTATGTTCATAGGTACAGTAGTCAAGGTCATTTAAGTATAGACTGAATAGCATAGGTCCTAGAATAGAGCCTGAGGGACGCCTTTGGCGATGTGAGCCATGGTCTTGATAGACGCATTCAGACCACTATCGACGATACTCACAAATTGAGACCTATTCTCTGAAAAGGACGTTATCCAATTATATGGTGAACCATTTATGCCATAGTTTGACATTTCTGTAACAGCACTTCATGATTGACGCAGTCAGATGCCCTGCTGAGGTCACTTAGATTCCGCCTCACTTATTTTAATAACCGTAGAAGCTGTTAATTGCATTCAAGGAACTGAGGTGGATATCGCATATTTAACCAGTTTAATCAAGCAGCATGTGCGAAACTCTTTCAAACTTTCGTCCATGTCAATCTTGTCTAAACAAAATCCATATACGCTATTACAAAAACTGAAATGTCTTAGTACTATTTTAAGTTGAACACATATCGGTGAGCATATAGAACTTTCAGAGACGCATACGGTTTCGCGATATATACTAAGTGACATATAAATCCGAACACCAGTTTAAATGGTTTTATTTCAATAAAAGTTGGTGAATGTATTTATCTTACTGTAAATAACAAGTGAAAAAATATTCAGCCTTATCAGTTGGACATTCCGGTTTTTATACTGCTTTTTTTAATTTACTAACGCTCTAAAAATGAATATTTCAGCCGCAGTAAAGAATCAACGTTGGCGGATTTTGGTTCTTGACATCCTTTACGATCGGTTACGATGCCTAGAGTACGGAGACCTGTACGATTTCGTCAACTTAGTGAGTTTGATAGGGGCCGTATAGTGGGACTTCGGGAAGCTGGACTTTCTTTTCGGGCAATTGCAGTTAGAGTGCAAAGAAGTGTAGACACTGTGGTTAGGTGTTGTCAGGCATGGCTTCGAGAAGGCCGTACGCAAAGAGCAAGGGGCACTGGACGCCGCCGTAGAACAACAGACCGTGAAGATCGCCGCCTAAGATTATTGGCCTTAAGGGACCGTTTCTCCACTACCAGGTCCATTGCAAATGAATGGTTTGCAGAACACGGAAGACCTATTGGCATGCGAAGTGTTTACCGACGAATGAGAAGTTTTAGCTTGTTTTCATACCGGCCACACTGGGTCCTCCCTTTAACTCGCGAACACCGATGTAATTGCCTTGAGTGGTGCAGACAACGGTCACTCTGGGATCAGGAATTGAACAGTATTGTCTTTAGTGACGAGTCTCGATTTTGTTTAGGCATGCACGATGGTCGTGCCAGGGTTAGAAGGCGACGTGGTGAAAGGAGGAATCCACAGTTTTTTGTTGAAAGACATGTTCATCACACTGTTGGAGTTATGGTTTGGGGTGCTATAGCTTATGGTTCCAGGTCACCTTTAATCTTCATCAGAGGTAACATGAACGCGCAGCGTTATATCCACGAAGTTCTAGAACCCCATCTTTTACCCTATCTTGACACCCTGGCAGATCCAACTTTCCAACAAGATAATGCCCGACCACATGTTGCAAGAGTCACCATAGACTTCTTTCAACATAATGATGTCACATTGTTACCATGGCCACCAAGATCTCCCGACTTATCCCCAATTGAGCACGTGTGGGATATGATGGGTAGGAGATTGCTCAATTTGCAACGTCCTCCTCAGACTCTAGAAGCACTTCGAGAGGAGTTGGTGGTTGCCTGGAATGAGATACCACAGGAGGACATTGACCACCTGATCAGAAGCATGCCTAGGCGCGTTGAAGAATGCGTAGCACATCAGGGTGCATCCACACATTATTAAAGGTCAAAGGGCTTTAAAGCAGTGCAATCATTTTGAAATTTTTATCATTTACTTATTATGCTTCATTAAGTACTTATAAAAAATTTTATTAAAATAAAACCATTTAAACTGGGTGTTCGGATTTATATGTCACTTAGTATATTTACTAACATTAGGCTTGAATCTTAGATTTGATTCAAATTCTACTCCTGAATTTCTCACAGTAGCTGAACAAGGTATAGATTCACATCCTATTTTGGCATGAAAAGTATGCTCAATATTGTCTTTCATTCTACCAAATAACGTAAGACGTGATTTGCTAACATGAATCTGATGATGATTTTCCGAAAATACAACTCTTTTAATATTTCGATTAATAACGGCCAAGGCAGCACGTTTCTCGTTAGGATTGAATTAAAAGGAAAGCTGAGTATCGTTAGCATACAAATGTACATGACAATTTCGGTGACATTGGGAAAGGTTTGAGGTATAAATACTAAAAATCAGAGGACCTAAAACGGAGCCTTGTGGTATACCCAATCGGATGTCATCTTTAGATTTGGAAACACAGAAACTGGCACAATCCATTAACAATGACGAAGTTATAGATTTGATGTTTACGGTGTGTATTCAAGCTTTTAGTGATATTTCGCGAGTACGTAAGTTAACAACCTTTTTTGAATCTAACGACGACAACTTCATTAGTATTTACGAGCAAAACATGTGAGATAGTAGTATTTGAAATTTGCATCGTTAGACTTTTCTTCAGCGTCTTTTTTACGTTTTCGCTGCTGTTTAAGCAGCACATTAGCATTGATGTTTCACATGTAGTTTCTTTTGAAAATGAAAGTCAGGACACCGTGTATTTCATACCATAAATGCACTGAAATATATTTGCTGAGCGCTATCGGAGATTTTTTTTTAAATTGAGTCTGATATTTATTTAGCGAACGAAACTTTGCTACGCGAGACGGGATATTAAATTTCCATAATACTCACACGTGGGCCCAAGAAAATCCTCATACCGTTCGTGAAGGTCATTTCCAACAACGCTTTAAAATAAACATTTGGGCGGGTATTCTTGACGATCAGGTAATTGGCACTTTCGAGTTACATGATGGGGCACCTCCACACATCTTTGGAGGCCTCATTCAGTATTTGAATGAATATTATCCAAATCGCTGGATCGGTCGAAATGCTCCTGATCCTCGAAAATGGCCAGCAAGATCTCCTGACCTCAATCCGATGGATTTCTGGTATTGGGGAGACCTTAAAGGGATGGTTTATGGGGCTGGTCCAATAACAACTGAAGCACAACTTTGCTAAAAAAAAAATAATGCGGTTGAAATAATAAATGGACAACCTCGAGGAGCTAGACTAAGAAGAAACTGGGTTTGTCGTAATGAATCTTGTGTGGAAAGTTGAGCGTCATTTTGAACACCTTTCAAATACATGCGTTTGGCATTGCGGCGTTGTCAGATTTTATTTTACTTTAAAGTCGTTTTTCTCTAAAAAATGCCGTTTTGGCCCCCATGTTATATGAAACTTGTTGCTTCTTTAAGCCCCCTCTATCACCCATTTAAATTATGACTCTCATAACGTTTACACCCTGTATACTCATAATAAATTCTTTTTAAGCATGAAGGTTATAACGACAACGAACCATAACCTTATTTCTGCGCCACACTATATAAGAGTAGAAGAATAAAACAAATTCGCAATTGCAGAAAAAGTGCAAGGCTTAAAGGCCAGAAATTTCAAAAGTTTCCATGCGACTTTTCGGCACACTGACCCGGCACGTGTTGTTTCAAATGTTATTTATCAACCAATAAACACTAATATTGATACTGAAAAAATAATCGCCACACTTAAGTGGTTGTTGATGAGTTGATTTAAGATCTGAATGTAGGTATGTAGGTATAAATTGGTAACAATTGAAAGCTACTTTAATAAAATCCACCATGCCAGACATCGTAAATTAGTGTTATCTACAACGGTTACACCATCAGGTGTAAATAAATAAAATATTTGTTGTTGTCTTCTAGACACGTGTGTACCGATATTATTTCTTCATGTCGTGTTATTTTAGTGCAATGTGAGTATTCTTGAAAGTGCAGTGTATAACCTGGGGCTTCTTTAGTGGATGATTAGAAGCTTTTGTTACTGTGACAGTACACAGTGTCTTAACACGAATTAATGTTTACTCAGTGAAAAGGAAAATAGAACACCCGGTTTATTGGAATGCAATTTTGTATACAGTTACGCATGGGCAAGATGAAGTAGTGATTAAAATTTGGAGTGAGAACATTTGGCGTATCGCTGGGTTTCTCTAATATTGTTCTTTGAAAGGAAAAGTGAAATGATTCTGTAATCTTAAGGAGGCTTTCAGTTGACTTTACAGTGACAGAGATCCTAAAGATACAGATTAATATTTTTGAGCTTTCCTGCAATTTCTGAACAATGTTCTCAGTTGTTTTCAGGAATTAAAATGATTTGAAAATGATGCGCCCTGGAAGAGAGGTATAACTTAAATTTAGGTTAGATTATTATTGATATCTACTATTGATGAGTAATGTATTCTTCTTTGTTTGTTATTATCAGATTAGGATACTTTAAAACTGGATTTGATAAGCAAGACAAAAATATCTGATTGACCTTATAGGAAGTTTGCCTGCTATTATTTGCATTACTCATCACCAGCTACTGTCTACTGCATATAGATTGAATTGTAATTTTACAGTAGCCTCATCTGGAGGCAAATTGTAATAGTTTGGTTATATAGATTTTGTTCGCTCGATCTCAGACGGATAACCATGAACAGCTGTTTCGTGTTATTTGGCAATTCCCCAGTATGGTGCAGGCTTGCTATTGGTGAATATTGAACGAAAGCTAAGCAACTCTACTCTATTGGGTGTATAAGGCTTATCGAACTAAGACAGCACAGAGTGCCATCTACCGCCAGAATCGACCACTGCGAAAGTAGCAGAAGCATGTTAGCCATGTGTGTAAGTCTAGTTACCTCAGACTAAGACTTCTATATGCGAATTAAATTATATTAAATAGACATTAAGAATATGTTACGTGAGTCTTTGATACTGAGTAAAACAGTTGACTGCAACAATAACAAAATACAGGCTGCAAATAATTCTAAATACATGCTCCCGCTATATACACAATTTAAGAAGGTACGATCATCTTTCCCACTCAATAGCTTCAAATAATTTGTTAAAAATATCCGATATGTTCAAATCTTTGTCACATTTGTCATCAAAATATCAAAGACCTCCGTTCCCTCTTAGCTTAAGCAAAAGCTTGTTCATAGGATTGATTCACAATTTGAATACGCCCAACAATCATCTTGCATTGCCATAAGACATTACAGCCATATTTCAACGCTCTTTCACGTAATTCATTTCACCAAAACTGTATTAGGTAGAAACTTTTTTACATGCTTGATTAATTTTTATTTGTTTTTTGATATTTTCATTTCTTATCGGAAATATGTACTAGATTTTATGTCAATCCTAATTCGATTATTTTTATTCCAGACGCTCCGCCCCTACGATGACGTAGCCCAGCCCGCGAGCCAGTGAGTCGGCTCTAAGCGCCGCCCACCACGCCCTAATGTGCCGCCCCCTTTCAAATGCGCCGCCCTTCGGACCGTCGAGCCACCCCCGCAATTGCTGATGGCCGCCCACGTTGCTGCCCGTCCGCGGCCGTGTGCCGCCCTCGGGCCGGCCATGTTGTTAGTGCTCGCGCTCGCCGCTTGTGGCGCTTCTGTCGACGGAGAAGAGGAATCGATGGTGGCGGGGAACGCTTATGCGCAATCGTCGCACGCTCTTAACGGAAGTAAGTTTTTATGTATTCATTTATACAGGGTGTCTCAGTTGATTGTTGAGATAGAACTTTTAAAATTAATGCGTAAAGCCTATATACGGGGTGTTTAAATTTACTTTCTAAAATAGTTTTTTTAAAATATTTCGAACACTATTTGATGTATAACAGTGAAAATTGGTATACAAGGGTTTTTTGGTACGACAAAACGAACCATGGGCATAGTTTTACTGTAGCCGCTAGAGGGCGCTCTCTACTGTACCTGTAGTGTATTAAAATCACCGAAATTTTTTCTTAGTGCAATTTTTTGCTTTTTGAATAAAAAAATTGATTCTTCGCACTTTTCAACATAAAGCTCTCCTGTGAGTTTTCGTTATAGTTAGGCGTTTTTGAGATATTTCGATTTTTAAGGTTCGATGCATTTTTAATTATTTATGGGAAAATAATATTTTTTTTTACATTTTCGATTTGGGCATTACAAGTAATTAAGATGATCGTTTAGATTGTGTTTTTAAACACAGCAATAATTCCTAACTCCAAATAAACACAAAAAAAAGAATATTAATTTGTTTAATTTTCCAATATTATTTTTAACAAATTAAATTAATTATTTACAACTAAAATGCTATTGGATAGTTAGGACAAACATACAAAATCTAAAGTAGTTGCTCGAAATGTAAACCCAATTGTTCAATACACAATTTACATCTAGGAATGACCGAACGTGGTATAGCATTATTCAAATAAGGCCTTATTTCATCACATGCATTCCTGATTCTGTCTATTAGCATATCTCTTGTGGTTACGGGAGTCTGGTACTCTTTTTCTTTTAGAAATCCCCGCACAAAGAAATCTAATGGATTTAGGTCAGGGGATCGTGGAGGCCAGGCGACTGGTCCTCCACGGCCGATCCATCTTTCTGGATAATTTTCGTCCAGCCAGTTTCTAACTATTCTCGAATAATGAGCTGGACAACCATCAAGCTGGAACCAGCCCAATCTTGTTAAATCTAACATAACATCATCCCACATATTTGCATGTTCAGCATTTAAAAATTCCAAGAAGGTCGCAGCATTTGACCTTGCAGGCAAAAGGTAGAGTCCAAATAGTCGATTACGGTAGATACCAATCCACACTAAATTCATGCTGAAAATTTCTTTCCCGAACTGCATGCGGATTTTCATGCGACCAAATATGTTGATTATGAAAATGTACCACTCCACGTCTAGTGAAGCATGACTCATCGGTCCATAAAACGTTACTTAAAAACTACCTATTATTATCAGTTCTATCAAGAATCCACTGACAAAATGTGATTCTTCGTTCTCCGTCTCCTGGCTGTAGTCCTTGCACAGGTTGCAAATGGTAAGGACGTCTATGGTCATTTCTAAGAACAGGGTGAACATGGCTTGCTGAAATTCCCAAGGCACCAGAAACTCTCCTAACACTTGTGGTCGGATCTCTATCACACTCACGCAGAATCATACGGGTAAATCTGCGCTGACGAACATTTATGTTTTGATCCATTTGGAGATTTCCAAAACCATTTTCAATTACTTGACGATGCACTCTTACAAATACTGAGCGAGTTGGATGTCGTCTGTTTGGAAATCTTCGTGCGTATTCTCTGGCTGCTTCTGCTGCGTTTCCATTTACAAATCCATACACAAAATGGATATCCGCTAACTCTTGATTGGAGAATAAAAATGGCATTTTTATGAAACTTACAAAAAAAAAAAACAGGTAAAAGAAACTAAGTTTCGTGCATTGACAATTGCAAAAAAACGTTTCAGGTTTCAACAGACAACAATACTAACTGTCAACTAATTGACGTTCAACCTTATTCTGCTTTCAATTTCAAACATATTTGCAGGCACAGCCTACTTCTAAAAATTATCGAGATACTGACTTTTTAACGTTATTTTATCATAAATAATTAAAAATGCATCGAACCTTAAAAATCGAAATATCTCAAAAACGGCTAACTATAACGAAAATTCACAAGAGAGCTTTTTTATGTTGAAAAGTGCGAAGAATCATTTTTTTTTATTCAAAAAAACAAAAAATTGCACGAAGAAATTTTTTTCGGTCATTTTAATTTACTACAGGTACAGTAGAGAGCGCCCTCTAGCGGCTACAGTAAAACTATGCCCATGGTTCGTTTTGTCGTACCAAAAAGCCCTTGTATACCAATTTTCACTATTATACATCAAATATTGTTCGAAATATTTAAAAAAAACTAATTTAGAAAGTAAATTTAAACACCCTGTATTTCGGAAGCCACGCATTTTTCGACCCATGTTTATATAGACTTTATGCATTAATTTTAAAAGTTCTATCGAATCTTAAAGTTATGCAACAATAAACTGAAACACCCTGTATATTTATTTATTTAATCAACGGGTAAAATGGGTTACAAATGCAAAACAGTATTGATTTAAAGAACTACGTTGTAATATTCACAACATTTCGTTTAAACACATTAACAGGAGTTTCAAATACTTCTAAACTATGTATACAGGGTGTTCGTTAATATTTAAGGGTATGAATCTACAAGAAAAATTAATGTTAGTTTGCTTTATAAACTATGGTCCAAAAATCGTTCCTTACAAGAACTCTGGGTGTTGAAGTTTTATGAAAAAAATGGAAATTAATGAATATCTTCAGAACCGCTTCAGATATTTCACTGATATTTAGTACGTAGTGAAAGTTAATAAAGTTGCATATTTTTCAATGCAAAAATAATTTTTAGCTTTAACAGTGGCGTGCGTACGGGTATTGACTACGATATTTATTAAGAAAAATTATTATTATTATTTTTTAATTCCCCGTTCAATTTAAAAAAATTAGCTCTGTTTAGTTGTTTTCCTTGGATGCGCCATTTTTGAGTAAAAAAATAAAACCGTTCTATTGTCTAAATTGCAAAATTATTATTAATCTAATTTGAAAAATTAAACGAAATGATTACAGTTGATGGGTTATGAAGATATTATTTTTTTTATTTTCTTCTTTTTAATGAAGCCCTTGTTTCATTTTGGTCACGACTTGTTGATCACCCTGTATAAAAGCTGGAATCAATTTATAGCCGGTCACCCTGTACATGCTGGCAGCCTACAAAACGTGAACCAATATCAATTGTGGAAAAATTGTCAATTCCGTACTCTGTCCCACTTCAAACAATAAAGCGTCTTCAAGCTCGTAGAAAATAAATATTTTGAACCGGTTCCATAGCTGCCACGTGGTACTTTCAGACAGAGATATAAATAAACCACTACGATTACTACGACTTCTAACTACAACTTTCATAGCTGTAAGTGATTGACGGTCGGAAAGTGGTATATTGCTCGTAAAGAGCCACGCGAAATTTTCCCACGTGCCTCGACCCAGAATCGTAAAACGAAACTCCAATATACTAATAAAAGCGGCAATGCGCAAACATTTATTGTCTATAATAACTAACTAACAATTCCGTATCGACAATGTAAAATAGCATTGCAAAATATCAGTTGCATCATTCTGTGGTGCCGTCGAGTAACAAAAAATAAATTAACCTGTCAATTAAATCAAAGCGAACGACGTACGATTATTCTACGTGCATTTTATGGCTTATTAATGTGACCCGTCGGATGAGATAATGTTCGATAATGATGTGAAAATAGGATCCCGGACTGTCGATATTTTTATCAATCCTTGAATATGAAGGACTTCCGCTTCGTGGTCTATCTTCAATCGACTCTCTCCCTCCTGAAAGTGCCTTAAACCACTGAAAAACTTTGGCTTTTGACAAAACACTATCTTCATAGGCCTGTTTAGCAAGAGTTTTCGTTGCAGTGTGCCCAAGTCTAAAGCGAAACCTGATAGGACACCGATGCTTGAAATTGATGTCACTCATTCTTAGAACACAATAGAAAAGACTGTTTCACAAAAAATCCGTACGGACAACCAACTGACTCGAGCGAGTTCAAACTTGTACTGAAGGGGGATTACATCCAGTGTTGCCAGAGCCAACATTGAAAATTGGTATCGAAAAACTCCGTTACTTTCCGCTACCCCGGGGATTATCGTCTATCATAAAACAGGGGCCATTTATTATACAGATTGTGTTAAAAAAGGAAAACAAAAACCAAACAGCGTGATAAAATATAACATAAAACTGTAATAAAAAAAGATTTGACTATAAAAACCAATGCAATATTACAAATAAGTGTCAAACAACAGAACATTTATCACGCAGTCATATTAAAAAAATATCACAGGAAACTAAAAAATAAAAAGCATATGACAAGGTTATTTCTGTTTTGCATAAAACAAGTTTTTGAGTTACTTAAACTTAGTCACTGTTTGTATCAGATTCTTCTTGTTGCATTTCTGTTCTCTCTATATTATACAGGGTGTCCGCAAAGTTGGGGTTTTCCTTTTCAGAAACAACTACCCTTGAAATAACAAAGGTAATGTGTAGTGAAACGAGGGCGACCAAGTAAAAAAAAAACAAAGGAAAAAGTACTCACTCTCCAGTTGACGAGAAGGGCTAAGTACGTCTCTGCCCGAAATCATACCGCTCCAACAGAAAATGAAATCAGCTGATGCGCTACCGAGCAGACGCCGGCGGTGGTGCAGACCACGAACAGAGGTAACAAATATGACCATCGTGCAGAAACCACATTGATTGTCTTACACTTAATGGCACATCTTCTAACAAGGAAGACAAAATGTTGCGTAAAAAGTCTAGGTATTGCATCCCGTCCAATCGATTTGGGAGAATAAATGGTCCAATGAGCATACCGTTCACCATGCCAGCCCAAACATTCACCGAAAATGTTTGTTGAAAATGTGCCCGACGGACAGCGTGCGGATTTTCTACTGACCAAACATGAGTGTTGCGAAAGTTATTTACCCCATTACGCGTGAACGTAGATTCGTCTGTCACCAATATGCACTTCAAAAAGTCAGGATTATTGTCATGTTGATGCAACAACCACTCACAAAACCGCACTCTTGCTGGAAAATCGTCAGGT